AACGCTGTCTCAAAAACAAAAAAAAACCCCGCTGTCTCAAATAAAAAGTAAAATAAAATATAATAATAAATTGACATGTGAGAAAACATCAGAATTAGGCTTCATGAATGAAGCTACAGTTTTCAATGCTTAACGGAGAAAATAAAAACTGTACAAAAGATAAGGTTAAGTATCCAAGATGTATGTGCAGTATTTGGAAATTTAACAAAATGCAACATTTAAAAAATCCTACACTTATATCTACCTCTCCTGGATATTCAGACTGCGTTCCTATAAGCTGAGTGTGTGTGTAGAAGTTGTGAATTACAGGTGAAAAATATGTTCACCTTTAGCAAAGACACCCCCAAAGTTACCTAACAGTGCTTGATATGATCTTACATTTCCACCAGCAGATGAGGCACTCCAGATCATTTATAGCCTCAATAATATTTCTTTAATAATCTATAAGATTATTTAATTTTCATGATTCTCCTGTTTTGGTTTTATAGTGGTATGAGTAGTAAATTTAGAAAACAAAAGATATAAAAGGACCCTCTCCTTCAAATATTAATTTGCTCTTATTTTCCCCATTGCTTAATATAAAGTTAGTATACTGCTATTACTTTGTGATGTTATTCTTAAATTAGGGACTCGGTTAATCATTGAATTATGAAGTACAAATTGTTGGGGCTGGGGATTTAGCTCAGCTGCGTAAGCACCTGCCTTGCAAGCAGGCGGTCGTGAGTTCGATCCCCGGTACCGATAAAAATGAAAAAGACAAAAAAAAAAAAACAAAACAAAACAAATTGTTCTTTCCCAGGCAATTCATCATTTCTTGTTAGAAGCAGTAATGTATCATCCTTAACCATAGAAAAGAGATCTGTGATTGATTTTATTATAAAAACTAAAACCAAATATTAGCATAAAATAAATACTTAGTATGAGTAAATATAATAACTGTACCTTCACTAACAATAGAACAGTTTTCAATAGTAATAGCATTGAGTTCACTGTTGAAAGGTTCATAGAGCTTAATGGTTAAGCTATTAAGGATAAAGGGGATGGTGAACCAGAGAATGAAAAGAGTAGAATTTGAGAAATTAATTAGTGGGAGAAAAGGAGAGAAAAGTGAGATGAAGGATCCTTTTTACGAGTAAAGTAGAGTGAGTAGTAACAGATAAAAGTAATAGGAAAAAATAAACAAGAAAAAACAACAAAAGAGGAAAAGAAGAATTAAAAGGAGAGAAAGAAAGAGATAAAACCCCAAATCCCCCAAAACCAATGAAGGAAAAAGAAAAACATTTGAGTTAAAATGAAAACAAAATTCTTTTTGAAAGAGTGGTTTCTTTGCAGGATCTGAAGTTTTGGAACCAGCAAGTCATGATGTTTTGTTTTTTTGTCTTTTTCTTTTTTTATCAGTACCAGGGATCAAACTCAGGACTACCTGCTTGCAAGGCAGGTGCTTATGCTGCTGAGCTAAATCCCCAGCCCCAAGTCATGATGTTTTTCGCTTAGTTTTGCAGCCTGCCAGTTTGTGAGGTGCCCTCACAGCCCCACATGCCCCTCTGTCCTTAGGCCCCAGACTGTGGCAGCTGTCCAAGCCAAAGCAAGTCCTTGTTCATGTTGGTGGCAGGAAAGCAGTCAGACCTATAGTCTGCTAATCTGGCAGTAGCCAGAGGGTCAAGCAGACCACTGCACTTAGTGCCAGCACTTTGAGATCCAGTTACCCCTGAAAGCCACACTCAGAAGGGCTGATTTCTTTCATAGAGAGCAGGGGTCCCTGTCCTAGCCTGAGCATGAACTTCTCAGGGGGACTGGGTCTAACGGACTGTCACTGTGCTGCTCTGCTGTGGCTCTCAGTCAGTCACTGGGGGGGTGGGTAATATCACTGGGAGGAAGCCCAAAGTGGCAGTATTTTGTCCTTTGTTCTGTGGCTCATTGTTAAGCTGTTAACCCCTCCCCCAAACAATGCCTCATTAAACACTGTGGCAGTGTGGCTGGTGCTGCAGTAGCTTTCTTCTCCAAGTAGCCTGCCCTGAAGGAGTAACTTTTGCATCAAAACCCCATGCTGTTTTTGTAGCTTAGAATAATCATGGACTTTCCTTGGGGCTGACACTGCTGGCCTGGTCTGTTCTTTCTCCCTGGGGCTTATCTTCTCCCTTGGGGTGTTTACCTCATTCAGGCCATCTTGTTGGTCAGTGACTGTACTGCCCTGTGCCACGGAGAAACAAATTGCAGATATGCTTGGAGCTGATGGGAGGCTGTGGCCTGAGTACAGAGTGTATGTGTGCTTTTATTGGCTAAGGGTGACTGCCTTGGGGGCTGTTTCCTGTTTTGCTCTCTAAATAACTTACATTTTGGATTTTTCATATAAGAAAAATCATGCACAAGGTATACTTGTGTCTGTAGCTTATTTCACTTAGCATTGTGGTCTCAAGAATCATTAATTGTCCTTCAAATGACTGACTTTTCTTTTTGTGTTGAACCAGGATCTTGCCTTGTAGTTCAGGATGGCTTTGAACTCACTGTGTAGTCTAGGCTGGCCTGGAACTCCCTGCAGTCCCCTTGCTTCAGCTTCTTAAGTGCTGAGCTTATAGGTGTGCACCACCAGGACTGACTCAACTTCATTTTTTTTTTTTTTGTTGTTGAATAGTATTCTGTTGTTTATATACAGTTTACCACAGTCCATACCATCTTACTGTTCATGTGTCTAGGTAGATAGGCTATTTCCATATTTCAGCTATGGTGAATTCTGGCGCTGTGCATTTGAGTGCCACATTAATATGAGTTTAACTTTCTCTAAAAGATGCCTGGAAGAGGACTGTCTAGGTCAAATGGGATTTCTGTTTTTACTTTTTTGAGGAATCTCCATCCTGATTTCCATAGTGGTTATGCTAGTTTGAGTACCCACCAATAAGTTATAAGGGTTCCTCCCTCACCCCCTCATCTTGACAGCATTTATTTTCTTTTCTTTTGAGTCATTTGTGACAGCCATTCTTTTGTGTGAAGGTGGGATCTCAGTGGGTGGATAACCAGTTTTCCCAGCACCATTTGTTAAAGAGGTATCTTTTCTCCAGTGTATATTTTTGGACCCTCTGTCAACAATCAGATGACTGGAACTGCTTGGGATTGTTTCTCCATCCTTAATTCTATTCTGTTGGTCAGTATGTCTGCTTTTGTTCCATACCATGCTGTTTTTACTATTGTAGCTTTGTAGTATGACTTGAATTCTGGGATTGCAATGTCTCCTGTGGTTGTTTTTGCTTAGGATTTCTTTGGCTATTCTGGTTCTATCTAAATTTTAGGGTTTTTTTTTTTGGGGGGGGTTATGATGAGTGCTTTTGATATTTTGACTGGAATTATATTAAATCTGTATGCCATTGTGTCCATTTTGACATTATTAGTTCTGCCTATCCAGCAAGGGATGTCTTTGTATTTTCTAATGTCCTCTTTAATCTTTTTTCAGCATACTATAGTTTTAGTTATAGAGGTTTTTCTTTTCTTTTCTTTTTTTTTTTTTTTGTGGTATTGGGAATCGAATTCAGGACCTTGCGCTTGCCAGGCAGGCACTGTGCTGCTGAACTAAATCCCAGCCAGAGGTTTTTCAGTTACTTGGTTAGATTAATTCCTAGTTATTTAAACTTTTTGAAGCTGTCATAATGGAATTTTTTTTCCTGATTTGTTTTTCTGTGGGTTTATTGTTAGTGTTTAGGAATGTTGTTGATATTTGCATTGATTTTGTATCCTGACACATTAATGAATTTATTTATTTATTCTAAAGTTTCTGATAGAGTTTTTCTGGGTCTTCTATGTTAAGGATGCTGTCATCTGTGAATAAAAATAGCTTGATTTCTTATTCATATCTCAGGTTTTTTTCTTTTTTGGTCTTTTTAAGACAGGATCTCACTATGCAGTTCTGGCTAGCCTTGAGCTCACTTTGTAGCCCAGGCTGATCTCAAATTCACAAGGATCCTCCTGCCTCACCTTACCGAGTGCTGGGATTACAGGCATGCACCACCATGCCCAGCTCCATATCCCTCTTCTTTCTCTTGTGCGATTGTTCGGCTGAAGTTTTGAGTGGTACTTACTGTGTTGAACATGAGTGATGAGAGTGATTACTTTTGTGTTATTTCTGATTTTAGGGTGATTCCTTTTATTTTTTTCCTATTTATTTACTTTAACTTTTTATTATATGTTTGCAATATAATGCAGACATTTACTTTTTCTCCATTTAGTATGTTTCTGTGGATTTTGGTTATTATTTGAGGTGAGATATTTCTATGTGTTTTTATCTAGGCTTTTATCATGTTGAATATTGAATCTTGTCAAAGGCCTCTTCATCTGTTGAGATGATTGTATTATTTTTTTAAAAATCTTTGTTTATGTAGTGTATTGCCTGTATTGATTGTTGTGTTGTTTGTACTATGTTGTTGAGAGTTTTAATTCCCAGTGTTCATAAGAGCAAAAAACATACCATTAATGCTGTGATTTCAAAATAAAAATAGCTTTATTTTAGCAAATTTATTGTAGTGCTTATTTTGGGACTTTAAAAAGTGATAACAGGTTAATTGCAGAAAATAGAAAAGCTAAAAAAAAAAAAGCTTAATAAGGAAGAAATAAAAAGAGCCATTTACTTAAATGAATGTTGCCTGCCTGCCACTATTAATTTATTTACATGTATACACAGTTTTTTTGTGAAATAATCAAGTGTACCCTTAATACATAATTGAGAAGCTATTCTCATGGCATTAAAAATTAGTATTTGTCTGCAATGCTTTGTAGTAGTTGTATAATATTTGATATTCTGTCAATTTTAAGTAAATATTAAAAAGGAAGATCATGAAGAGAAAGAGGTTTCTTGTCATCAAGTATCAAGGTTTATTAAAATTTTCTGGATTCATTAAGTATATGGCAGTTATTACTATACTGTCACTATTAAGTTTACTATAGGTCTGTGGCTGTTAATTACCTTTGTATACAGTATGTTTACAGTTTTAGAATTCTTTTAATATTCTTTGTAGGTACGTAGACAGCACATGGAAAGATGTATGCATTTTTTGGTGGAGGAGCTCAAAGTTGTGGATCCTTTAGAAGCACGGAATCGAATCTTCTTTGTTTCAGCAAAGGAAGTTCTTAGCGCTAGAAAACACAAAATACAGGGGATGCCAGAAGGTGGTATGTATTATGGATTGCTGCCTTTTTTTTGGCACCAGGGATCGAACTCATGACCTCATGCTTGCCAGGCACAGGCGCTTATGCCCCTGAATTAAATCCCCAGCCCTATAAGCTTCTTTTTAAAATAGGTTATAAAAACAGTAGCATACCAGAAATCTTATCTTGGTCTATGCAGTCCCTCCCCCATCTACGGTTTTAGTAGCCAGTGTTAAACTGTGATATGAAAATACTAAATGGAAACTAGCAGAAATAAACAATCCATAAGTTTTAAATCACTCACTGTTCTGAGTAGTGTGATGAAATCTCTCATCCGTCATTCCAGATGACGTGAAGCCTCCTTTTGTCCAGCACATGCGTACCATCTTCACTACGCAGGCATCTTGGTAGTCAGATGGCCGGCACTGTTCTCGCGGTGCTTATGTACAAAGTAACCCTTATTTTACTTTATAATGGCTCAAAGAACAGGAGAACTTACTGATTCTGACAATTCAGATATGCTAAAGGAAGCTGTTGAGTGTTTCTTTTTAAGTGAAAAGATAAACTGCCTCACTTAAAATAATGTGTGCTTAGGTCACAGAGGTCTGTAAATGTATCTTTGTTTCTGAAAATTATGATGAAAAAAGTCACGCTAACTTTTTGCGGTCACATCTCCAGTTTCGGAATTTATGGCCACAGTGCATGATAAATGCTTAGTTAAAATGGAACAGGGATTAAATTTGTGTCTGTATATGTACTACTTATAGGGTTCCAGCCTGTCTGCAGTTTCAGGCATCCATGCGGGATCGTGGAACATATTCCTTAAGATAAGGGTCAAGATTGACACTAGAATTAAGAGTTTTATCTGTCTTACAGGTGGAGCACTTACTGAAGGCTTTCAGACAAGGTTGCAAGAATTTCAGAATTTTGAGCAAATTTTTGAGGTAGGAATTTTCTGAATGTATTGGTTAACGCGAAACATTTTTATTGGTTGGTGAACAGTTGTAATCTTCATTTTCACTATCTATCTTTGTTAATAACCTCTGCTGTTATCTAGTATAGTTACTGACACAGCAAGTGAAACAAGGGAAGGTGGAAGAAAAGGAAGCCCCGCAAAGTGGATGGTCTGTAAGAATTGAGAATTAAAGATTATTTCTTTTCCTTTATGTATTTATGTATAAATAAGAAGCTGGTTTCCATCATTGCTTGTGTTCTACGCTGTATTTGGTAATTTGGTGCAAGAACAAGAATGTACCTGCTGTTGGAACATATCACAGAGCACAGCGAAGATCTTCTTTTGCATCATGATACTCATAGAGATAAACAGAACATGGTTAATACCACTTGGCAACATTTTATTACATTTCTAAACTGTTGCCACTTGGTAACCCTTCTTGTTTGGTGCCAAGTGTTTTGAAAAAGAGAATGAATACAAAAATATTAAGATAGAGCTGTGGTACTTTAGGAGTCGATAGGAAGCTACAAAAGTGGCTGAGTGGCTGGTACAGGTGTAGTGCTGGAGGGAGGGTGATCTGCTGTGGCAGAGAGTAGTCACTTGATTATTCAGAGACATTAGGAACCATCGTGCATTTGACTGAGAAGTTCTTTAGATGCTAACCTTCTAAACTGTCATTCTGTATCATCTTCCTGTTAATCGACATAGACCTCATAATTAGAGAAGCTCCCATTTGTAACTGTTCCTGCTTAAAGGTAGTGGAGGGGACATGAACACTGAGAGTACAGAGGGGACTTTTTTTTAGGTTCTGGAATTGGACTCAGGACCCCATGCTTGCTAGGCAAGCAACATATTACTGAGTTACATCCTCAGCCGGGCAGACACTTTTAAAGTAGAAATGTGCCGTTTCCTCCTCTTTCATGTGGGGAGAGAAGGGAAGACCGTGAGTCAGGTGAAGATGACTGAATGCGTTATAAAGGGCCCAAACAATGTTTGCTGGTTAGATTACCAGTTTTCTTCCTTTCAGAAAGCTGCGGTTTTTTTCCTCAGTCAGTCTTGGTAATTTGTGATTTTTTAGAATTAATGTATTAAAATTATTCATCTTTCACATAGTTTCCTGGTCAAAACTGATTTTTTCCCCATTCCTTAAAACATTATTTAAGATTATGAATTTCTGAATACAGTTTTAATTGTATTTTAAGGGTTTCGGTATCTAATACAGTTTTCTTCTTCCTTTTTAGTTTTTTGGTTTTTTTTTTTTATTAGTTTTTAATTATGATTTTTAGCATTTCCTGAGAAAAGTTAAAATTTATGTTTTGATTTTTTTTTTTTATCCAACTTTTGGTTATTTCTTGGTTTCTTTGTGTTGTGACCTTTACACGCATTCTCTATTTTGAAATTATTTTTCTATGTACTCTTACAAAATGATTTTTATGCAGGAAAAGAAACCTTTGTATCAAGTTAATTATCTTAATCAGCTGATCTTTGCCTTGTGTGGCTTCAGATTCATTTAGTTTGAAAAGAGCTAAGTATTTGGAACATTTAGAGTATCAAATTAGTTTTTCTCTTGTGGTTCTGAGAATTCATCCTCGGGCTCTGGGCTTTCAGCCTGAGACTAGGAAGTTAAATGAAGTAAAAGCAATCGAGAAAATCAGTGTTACTGATTCTTGCGGTGGGTGGGTGGGTAGCAATGTTAACTAGGAATAGAACCCCAAGGCTTTTCACTGAGCTACATTCCCAACCCTTTCAAAAATATTCTCAGGCATGGTACTACATGCCTGTATTCCCAGCACTCAGGTGGCTAAGGCAGGAGAAAATTCTCATACATAGTGAGTTCAAGACCAGCCGATATCATATATAATAAGACCTTGTCTCGGGGACTAACGGGGAAAAAAAATTTTTTTTTTGGTCTTTTTGAAACAGGGTCTCACTTGCAGTTCAGGCTGGCCTTGAACTCACTTTGTAGCTCAGGCTGGTTTAGAATTCACAGTATCTTCTTGCCTTAGCCTCCCAAGTGCTGGGATTACAGATGTGCACTGCCATCTCCAGATTTTCTGCCTGTTTTTAATCTCATTTGGATAGACAGTATTGAAAAGACAAGTTAGAAATTCAGATTCCTTCATCCAAATATTTCTCATCTATTTTTAATAGTTTTGGTTATAGATTGGAGAGAAGTATAGAATTATTTCCAAAATATCAGTGAATTTGTTGAAAAGGGCAGTTTTTGGATGCTTGGTGAAACCTCATTGGTTTTGTTTTAAACATTGATAGCTAAAAATGTGTAACTGCATGATTAAGTATCAGCCAATTATCAGCCAAGATACTAAGAAATGAAAAACTGTCATAATTGGGATGTAACTATTATATTGATTCTCAATCATTAATAAGTTTTAATGCAGCCTATAGAATACTTTGATATGATGGAAATTTAATTGGTTTCCTATAAGTACTTTAAATTTTTCTGAAAATTAGTTTCTGATAAATATGGCAACTTTGTATATGGTGTATGTTCGCATGGAGACAGCATGTTAGTGTGTAAAGATTCTTTTTCCAGGTGTGTTTTACCTTCCTGCGGGTGAATGAGATTCCCACGCAATGGATAGTAGTTTTCAGTTAGAAAAAAGATTGTGTCTTATATTCATTCATCAAATATTTTTGAAACAAGACGAATATACTTCTAATGACTTGAAGATCCTTTTGTTTCTGGCGAGTCTAGCTCTAACACTGTGCTGTTACCTGAGAATTTGAATCTTCATTGCTGATACCTAGATCTACTTCATCGAGGATCGTAGAGTTTCTTTTAACCTTTTTTTCTTTTAAAATTATTTTTATGTTTATTATAATTTAATTTGGCAAGTCTGTGAGGCATGGTTATTTAGAATATAATCAAATTCATGTGTTTTATTAGAAGATAACTATTTTACAGCTCAGCTGGCTACTGGATGTAATTACTAGTGGATGTAAAGAAGGAAACATCCTGGAATGTTCGATCTCTGTCTTAGGCTTTACAGAACAGGAATACCATGCCTTCTGGCCACTAGTCCTTTGATGGTTAGTAAGAATCAGTGATGCCTAAATGAATTCACCATGGCATCAGTGAAGCTAGTTAGTGCAGAGAAGGAGTGGGTCCTATGTTGACTTTGTAAACTGTTGACTAAATGAATTATCCTTATGTGCCGTATGCTTAAGGACAGTAATTTTGTTTTCTATACCTTAAACAAGATGCTGAAGAAGGGAGCTGATTTGCCTAAAATTTATAGTAGACCTTTTTGTCTGAGTGAAATGTATAAATTTTAAAGTTAGAAATTTAAGCATCAGTTTAAATAGTATATATTTAATGAGCAAGTAACATACTACATAATGATTTTGGGATAAGTAGAGTATTAGAATACCTTTTAAAGCCTTAATGCTAATTTTTTGACAATGGAGGGGCAGTAGTAATCTTTAGGAATTAGCAATTTCTTCAGGGTAAATAATACAGAGATTTAAGACAGAGTCATAGTGCTGGAGAATTTGAGTATAGTTTGATGATGATGTGACCCAGGCTAACATTTCTTAGATTGTTCAAAGACTGGATAGCGTTTCTCTGTAAACACTTATTTTTAAATGTTTTGTTAGTGCAGAATTTATTTTTCTAAGAAGTAAACATTCAGTGAGTCCAGTCATAAAATATCAATTTTTTGAGCTTTGATGAGTCACAATAAAAAAGTAGTTATATAACAAATAGTATTGCACGTGGGGCGTGGTGGCACATGCCTGTGATCCAAGCACTTGGGAGGCTGCAGCAGGAGGATCACCGGAAGTCTGAGGCCAGCTTGGACTGCAGTGAATTCAAGGTCAAGCTGTACTACACAGCGAGACACTGTCTCAAAGCAAAAACAACAAAAACAAATAGTACAACATGTTGAAACTTGAAAAATTTTACAAAATAAACGTCTGTCACCATGTGCAGTTCACTGTTACATATTCTGTTAAAACACTGGGTGTGAAATGCTTAATCGATTTGTACTGTTAATGGGTATGAGCTGCATGAGCTGAAGGTGAAACGGGCAGGGCACGGTGCACGGTTCAGGCCTGTGTGTACCACTGCAGTCTGATGGCGCAAGGAGGAGTCTTTAAAGTGACCGCAAGTATTTTTCTACAAATGACTTAAAGTATCATTTAGGTTGTTTATTGCTAATTATAACTTTTAAAGCTGGTCACACTAATCCATGGAAGCTGTTGTAGTGCCCTTCTGTGAATCATGTCATTCAGCTTATTTTCTTAATAGGAATTCTAATTCACAGCTCAGTGAAGAACTTTATTAGGTTGTCTGTTTAGGGGTAGGAGAAAAATAAGATAGGTGAACTTAGTTTGGCTTAAAAGTGATTGGAATAGGTGTTTATAGTGGAAAAACCTTAACATTGGATACGGTGCCGTTTATTTACTTATGTTTAAATGTGGTCAAACCATTTCACATTACTGTGTAAAACACAAAAAGATATAAACTTGCTGTTAAAGCCTCTTTTACTTTTGAATTTTTTTAAACTTTGTAATTTTAAGTTAAAGTTTTAAGTTTCCCATTTTTTGTTACTGTTTTTGTTTTCTTTTCCTATCTTTATTTCTATTTTGGTTTGAGTTACAGTCAGCAAGTTTTTGTGTTTAAATTCCTGAAAATGTTGGGATGGAATTACAGTAATGTGTGTGGCTTGGGCCCTCGCAGGAGTGTATCTCGCAGTCAGCAGTGAGAACAAAGTTTGAACAGCACACTGTCAGAGCTAAGCAGATAGTAGACACTGTGAAAACCATAGTGGATTCAGTACACGTGGCAGCAGCAGAAACAAGGTATGAATTCACTTTATTGCAGCGTGAAAATGTTAGTTGTTTTGTGTCAGATTTTAACTGTGTGGTTTTAACTTGCTCTATAAATACTTTCCTCTAAAATGAATCCTGAGGTTTAATTGATGTCTACTGGTTTATCTTTAAATTAATATTTGAAAATACAATTATTTGTTCTGTTACTCTTACCTACTCATTTATATTCCATAAATCTCAATATTCCTGTGTATAAGTTATGATTTTAAAATGTGTAGTGGGTTTAAAATGTTTTTAAAACAGTAGAAGAGCCATTTCTTCAAGCAGAAGTTTATGAAGAATTCCAAACGAGGTGATCCTCTTGATGCAATCAACCCATGACCCATTTTTGTTTGTTTGTAAGTTGGAAATGAATACATGGCAGTACCAACAGTAGTGATGAAAAACAGTTCTAATTAACTTGAAATAAAATTTAGAAATAAAATCAGGACATTAGTAGATGTGACACAACTAATGATGGTAAGCCCTAGTTAGACTGTTAGTAGACGTAAGCCAGTTCAAGGAAACAAAGCACCAAAGATTAAATCCAAGATAAAATAAAACCTAAATTTTATTTTATTTTATTTTATTTATTTATTTATTTATTTATTTATTTATTTATTTATTGTCTTTTTCCTTTTTATCGGTACCGGGGATCAAACTCACGACTGCCTGCTTGCAAGGCAGGTACTTATCCCGCTGAGCTAAACCTCCAGCCCCAAACTAAATTTTAAATGTGTTTATTTTTGCGGGGAGTAGTCCTTCATATATCCCATTTGTTGCTTGATTTTTGTGCCATCGGAGGAACACATAAAGTACGAAAATGGGGAAGTGCCAGCCTATGGAACATATGGGTGTGAACCCGAGCGTGATCTCGGCTCCAGGGCAGCATGGCGTCCACCTGCAGCCTCTGGGTAGGAGCCTGTGTTGCTGTAGAAGTCCCTGGAGAGGACTGAACGAGCACAGCAGCGTCCCAAGAAAGCTGTAGTAAAAACTGGCTCGTGCTGGATTTGGCTTTCCAGACTGCCATTTGCAGACACTTGTTGATTAACTGAAGTCACTGCTGAATTCTGTTTTAACTGTGCATATTTGTGAAGAGTTTGGAGACTTAGAATGTTTATCATGCCTCTGCATCAGGTACCAAATGGGCACAGAGACTGTAGTTTACATCAAGTCAGCTATATGAAGTATTTTATAAATGAAGTAATGCAGTTTTTTTCTTGTGCCATGCTAATAGTTCAGTACATGAAAAGGTGTTCTTGCTTAATTGCCTTGGGACTTTGATGTATTCTGAGTGTTGATTACTCTTCATTGTACAATAGGGTTTATTCAATGGAAGAGAGAGAGGATCTAATTGATAGACTGGACTTTATTAGAAATCAAATGAACCTTTTAACATTGGATGTTAAGAAAAAAATCAAGGAGGTTACCGAGGAGGTGGCAAACAAGGTAACAGCTTTACAATGGAAGTATCTAGAAATGGAAATATTTTTTAATCATGCTAAAAAAGTTACTTCTTACCTTAAAGCAATATATTAGTTTTTCTCAATTTGATTGTTTTTTTAGTAGTTCACAATCTTTAAAAAAATTTTTTATTTTCAGGTTTCATGTGCAATGACAGATGAGATTTGTCGGCTGTCTGTTTTAGTTGATGAATTTTGTTCTGAGTTTCATCCTACTCCAAGTGTATTGAAAGTATATAAAAGTGTAAGTTAAAGTGTTTATTTTTTTTAAGTTAAAGTGTTCTTAAAATTTTTTTCTGAGGGCTGGGGATATAGCTCAGCGACATGAGCACCTGCCTGGCAAGCACAAGGTTCTTAGTTTGAAAAGAAAAATTTTTTTCTGAGATAGTTTCCTTGCTTTATTCTGTAGTCTTATTTCTGTCACCTTGGCAATCTTGTGCACTGGTAATACATGTAAACTATCTTGTATATAAAAAATACTGAGAGCTGGGGGTGTGACTTGGTGAGAATGCAAGTTTAGCATGTATGTGTGAGTCCTGGGTTCAGTCCTGAGCACCAAAACCAAACAAAAACTACCACAATTTGTCCTCTGGATGGAATTAGGATCATTTTAGTGTTTGTCATATTCTATAAGTCTTTTAAAAAAAATCTACACACTTTCTGGAGAAAAGTAATATGAACATTTACATTGGTAACAGGAGTTAAATAAACACATAGAAGATGGTATGGGGAGAAATTTGGCTGATCGTTGCACCAGTGAAGTCAACGCCTCAATGCTTCAATCCCAGCAAGAAATTATTGGTAATATTTATGTCTACAGAATCTCATGTGTTTTTTTTTTTGGTAAAGGTTTACTTTCCTTCGGATATTTTATAGAAGGCAAACCATTATTTATGACTATTTGTGGTAGTAAATAATTTTATTCTTTCCAGAAAATTTGAAGCCATTACTTCCAGCGGATATACAAAGTAAACTTCATACCTTGATCCCTTGCAAGAAATTTGATCTTAGTTATGACCTAAATTGCCATAAATTATGTTCAGATTTTCAAGAAGATATTGTATTTCGTTTTTCCCTGGGCTGGTCTTCCCTCGTGCATCGATTCTTGGGCCCCACAAATGCACAGAGGGTGCTACTTGGATTATCGGAGCCCATTTTTCAGGTATGTACCTTTGATTCTACCAGATCAGACTCTTTTTTGTATTTTGGTTATGTAGTTTTCTCTAATAAAACTGGTTTCAAATCTGTGCACTCACAAGCTGGTGTCCATCTCATAGAGCCATTGCTGTAAGAGGAAAACCAGCCCCTAAGTTTTTTTTTTTTTTTTTTGAGATAGGCTTTGCTATGCAGGTCAGGCTGGCCTTCAACTCACTACATAGTCCAGGCTGGCCTCAAAGTTGTGGTGATCCTCTTGCCTTAGCCTCCCGAGGGTTCGAATTATAAGCATGTGCCATCATGCCTGACTTGTAATCACTTTTGAAACTTTAAAAAAAAAAGTTAGTAGCACATGTCTAATTCCAGCTACTTGGGAGGTTGAGGAAGAAGGATTGCAAATTCGAAGCTGACCTGGTGAGAACCTGTCTCCAAAAAGTTTTTACTTTAAGGCTTTAAATAAATTGGAATACATGTAAGGATGCTAAGCTTTTAACCATTTTTTTTTGTTTTTGTTTTTGTATTTTCTGGGTTTGGGCAATTAAATCCAGGATATTGCATGAGCTGGGCAAGTGTTTTATACTGTGCCACATTCTAGCCCTTTTGTCTCTTCCTTTAGGTCAGGATCTTGCTGTGTTGCCAGGCTGACTTTGAACTCACGGCAGTCTTCTTGTTCAGCCTTGCAAGTGTTGGGATACCATGTGTGTGCAACCATTTCTGGCCTAGCCCTTTTTTCTAAATTTCATTTTGAAATAGGGTCTTGCTAAGTTTCCCTGGTTGGCCTTGAACTCAGACTCTTGCCTTGGTCTGTTTGGTAGCTGGGGCTTTTGACTAAAGATTTTTTTTTTGATACTGGGGATTGTACTTACAACCTTGAGCTTGACAGGCAGGTGCTTATACTGCTGAGCTAAATCCCCAGCTAAAGATTATTAATTTAGTAATTTTTGTGAAAATATCTGGAGCTGTTAAACCCATCACCATAATTGAATTTCAGAACATTTTCTATTATTTCAAAAGACTCTCTTATGCCCATTTGTAGTGAATCATCATTCCTGTCTCCATCACACCACTAATTGCCTTCTGTTAATAGGGAGTTGCTTTTTTGGGGTATTTTCTTAAATAGAATCAAATAAGAGATATCCTGATCTGATTGGCTTAATTTAATTGGTGTGTCTCAAGGTTTAGGATAGTATCTCTATTGGTAGCAAGTGTATTTCATTATGCTATGGCCAAGCAATATCCTATTACAGATAAAGCATAATTATCCATTTATCATTTGTTAGTGCTAGTAGTTAGTACTCTGGGGCAGTATGAAAAATACTGCAGTGAACATGCACATATATTTTTCTGTGGAAATATGTTTTCATTCCTCTCAAGAATATAAATAGGAATGACTGCTGGACTCTATGGAAGGTCATATTAACTTTCTGAGGAATTGCCAAGTTGTTTCTCAAAATGATTGCACTTTTTCACATTGTATGAAGCATCCAGTTTCTCGGTGTGCTTGCAACACCTGTTACTGTCTTTTCTCCTAGTGGGTGTGAGGTGTGGTATCTCCTGGTGGTTTTGATTTGCGTTTCCCTAATGAGTAATGATTTTGAACATCTTTTCTTATGTTTATTAGCCATTCATGTACCCTTTTTTATGAAGTATCTGTGCATATCTTTTACTCATTTTTAAATCTGTTATTTGGCTTCTGTTCCTGTTAGGAGTTCCTCATATGCTTTGGGTACAGGTCTGTTGTAACATCCAAATGTATATTTCTAGTTTGTGGCTTTTCAGTTGTTTTAATGTATTTTTTTTAGTTGGTACTGGAGATCGAACTCACGACTGCCTGCTTGCAAGGCAGGTGCTTATGCCGCTGAGCTAAATCCCCAGCCCCATGTTTTAATGTATTGCAGTTTAAAAGTTTTTGTTTTGAAGTCCAAAAATTTTTTTTAATGACTATACTTTTGATGAACAGTTTGTTTTTTCATTTGGTGTTGGGGCTATACCACTGAGCTCTGTTTATTTAAAGCCCATTTACTTTAAAAAATGCAGTGTAGTTTCTGTTGAAAGCTACCGAAGCAGGTAGACCCCATGGTATATTATGCAAGTGTATTATTTGTGCTAACATTGGTCCATGACACAGAAACTCATCTTCAATTCAACTTTATTCATTTGTTTGTAGAGATGTGTTATTGGAGCTTTTTTAATGCATTGGCTGTTCTGATTTTAAAAGAAATAATTTTATAAATGTACCATCTCACTTTTGCTTATTGGACTGTAATATGTTTTTATTCTCTAAATTTATTAGCTTCCTAGATCTTTAGCCTCAACTCCCACTGCTCCTGCCCCTACTAATCCAGCAACGCCAGATAATGCGTCACAGGAAGAACTCATGATTACCTTAATAACAGGACTAGCTTCTCTCACATCTCGGACTTCTGTGGGCATCATAGTTGTTGGAGGAGTGGTAAGAAACATTTGTAGTATAAATTATTTTGGCAGGCGCTTATGTCACTGAGCTAAATCCCCAGCCCCCTTGTTTTATTTCTTTGGAACAGGGTTTTCTTTACATAGTTTAGACTGGTCTTGAGCTCCCTAAGTAACCTAGCCTGACCTTGAACTGTGATCCTCCTGCCTGAGTTCTGGGATTACTGACTGGTATGTGTGAGTGTGCCTTGCTCTAATTGAAATTGTCACAAAACTGTCTGTTAGATCATGAAAGGAAGGGTGTATTTACTTTTGTTTCCAGGATCTTTAAAGCACTATGAAAATCTGCAGGCTAGAATTAGGGAAGAATTTTGCAAATCATACTGTGAATTTAAATATATCTATCACCCGGGTTTTGATTTGCTTGGGGCTATTTTTTTGGCATTGCTGGGGATTAAACACAGGGCCTGGGGCAAACAGGCACTCTACCACTGAACTATAGCTTCAGCCCAGTGTCGTTTTTGAATCAATATTTAGTGTTTTCCCACCACAGCATACAAATTACATTTGTACCTTATAGTAAAAAGAGAGGTCTGATGAGGCTGGGCTGTGGTTACTGGGACGGTGCTCACCTGGCATGTGCAAGGCTCTGGGTGTACAGGAGGAGGAGGAGGAGGAGGAGGAGGGACAGGAGGGGGCAGGGTCTAAATGCCAAGGGACTCTGTTCTGAAGTGGTAAAGGTTCTGCTCAGTACTGGACTGTTTTCCAAGACAAGGCCTTGCTGTACAGTCAGGCTGGCCTTGAAGTCACTTTGTAGTCTTGCCTCAGCCTACCAAATGCTGGTATTGTAATGCCCAGCATAGTAATAGTTCTTAATTGTTGAAAATTTTTGAAGTACATTAAATAGTTTATCAAATCTGACAAATGAGTTCTTCATGTGCTGATCACTTTTCCATGTCACTGACTTCCAGTTAACTCCATATTTTCTCATGGAGAAGAAATACACATTTTTAGGAAATAGGTTTGGCTCAAATATATATAATGTGTTTGTAATATATTCTCCCAGGTACTATTTTTTCTTAAGAGTAAGCTGTGGCCTTATCTTCCAGATTTGCAGAACTATAGGCTGGAAACTTGTATCTGTTTCACTAAGCATGTATGGAGCATTATATCTTTATGAAAGGCTGACCTGGACCACCCGTGCCAAAGAGAGAGCTTTTAAGCAGCAGTTCGTGAACTATGCAACGGAAAAACTGCAGATGATTGTTAGCTTTACAAGTGCAAACTGCAGCCACCAAGTACAACAGTAAGTTGAAAGACGCATCTTTAACTTAAAAAAATGTGCAGTATGGCATACACGCCAAGAACGAGCAGTTTGAGTCACTACTGAGGTGAAAGACGTCAGACCTCACTTCGGCCTTCTCCAGGCACTGTTTATCCATTCTCCCGGTGTGTGAGAGGTGAACATTTGTAATCAGCATGTAGGAATTCCCAAGAACTCTAGAGGGCTTTCAAAAGACAGTTTATCAGCACACCTGTTACAGACTTGTTTCTGTCCTTAGAGGAGTTGTGCCTTTTAATTAGAAGATTAAAGATCGAGTGGATTTTTAGCATTTAACAAGTAGGCTTAGTGCCGGCTCCTGATTTTATGATGAACTTGATTTTCTTTCATAGTCCAAACATGCTTGCTTAAAGATATGAGCTTTTAGGATTGGTGGTTTAGGTCACTGGCATAAGTGCCTGCTTGGCAAACACAAGGATGTGAGTTCAATCCCCAGTACCAAAAAAAACCACGAGCTTTTATGTATCAAGAGGATTTTATTATAATACGATAAATACATGTGTCAACCTAATTGCTATTTTTATACATCTTAGATATTTGTTTTATTGATTTAGTGAAGATACGTTGAACTTCACTTAAGGCACAGCATTTGTTATGTGAATACACTTGAGAGCAGAGTGAGGCAGAGACCACTGGCGGGCTTCTGTGAAGGCAAGGAGGCGTACGACGCAGGAAACACTGGCTTCTCTAGCGGGCTTGAAAGAATACAGGATGTTAGGTGGAAGAAGCTTAGTAAGTGTCAGTGATCCAGTGTCAGAGACTGTAGCGGCCGAAGGTTGTGGCATCCGCGTAAATGGATGTTTTCAGATGTCCTGGAGCTTGGAAGAGCCTGTGCTCCACCCTCTCTCTTGTGAAGACATCCTGCGTTTGGCCAAGGCAGCAGCACCAGTGCCGAGCTGGTTTTTCTCTGAGAACAGTGCTGCTGCTGACAGGTCAGTGCTGTGAGAGTCATGCCTGAATCGGGCCTGCTGATAACAGACACATAATTGTGAAGCAGTGTGAAAGTGACAAATGCTATAGAAGATGAAACATCCTTGGAATGTTGGGCTCAAGCAGTTACTTAATTCAGGGAGCATAGTGGACTAGGGAAGCTTTCCTAGAAGAGAGGTAGCATGTGTATTACATAGGAAGATCAGGCAGAGGAAAAAACTCAAACAAAAGATGGTAGTTGAGGAAAGGAGTGTGTTTAGGAACATGGAGAGAAAATTTCAGTGTGGCAGATATGTTTGTCTTGTTTTGTGTGAGGCAGGGTTTCACTGTGTACTTCAGGCTGCCCTTGAACTCGAAGTGATCCTCCTCTGTGGCCTCCAGAGCACTGGGATTACAGGTGTCCATTCCCATATCTGGCGGCTAATGTGTATTGAGTGTAAACCTGTCCAAGTAGGGGCTTTGTCTGTATGTATAGGGATTTGGGTTTGGATCATTAGGAATTCTGAGAGTGGCACCATAAATAATTTAGCTCTAGAACAAATAACTTTGCATCGATGTGATATATGGAGTGGAGACTAACAGACAGGAATTACAGAAAGGTTTATTATTTCAGATACAATTAAGTACCTTCCCGCATCTCATCCTTAGCAGGGAGAAAGGAGGATTCCTTTCTCCCCACAGCTATGAAAAATAGAAACAAAAAAGACCACAGCTTTAAGAAACTTGTTCATCCATCCGTCACTTAACCTTTTTTGAGCTCATTTTTTCTTTAAATTTCACTTTATGGAAAAAATAAAGCCAAATTTCAAAAACAAATTAGAACAACAATAGTTAATACATTGTGTTGTTATCTTCAATGTAGTTACTCAGAGTACAAGATAAAGGCATAAAAAATTCTCTTTTTGGCGAGCTAAGAGAAACTGTGTAACTATAGTGCACTTTTCCTCCCTTCCTTTCCTCTTTTTACCCTTTGTAGTTCCTTTTTCCTTTTGAACAGTTTCTTTCCATTGCACAATATCTGTTGTACATTTTGAATCTTTTTTACTCTTTCGGTGTCTCACACCAGGGAGACAAAATGGTGTTTACACATGTGAGTGATTTATTTCACCTATGAGTATGTTGCATCCATTTACTATAACAGTCTCAAGGTTTTCTTTCTTTATAGCTGAGTAGTACTTCATTGTGTAAAAAGACCACATCTTTTTTATCCATTCCTCAGTTGATGGGTATTTGAGTTGTTTCCAAGATTCAGCTATTGATAGATCATGCTGCTATAAATATAGGTGCACACATATTGCTGTGGTATGTTTTTAATTCTTCTGAGAATATACGAGAAGAGGAATAGTTGGGTCAAATGGGGCCTCTAGTCCTAGATTTCTGAGGGAAAACATCCTGATATCCACAGTGGTTGCACCAGTCTGTATTCTTGCCAATAGTGGAGGAGGATTCCTTTCTCCCCACAGCCCCTGAGCTCTTAGATGATGGTTTTATTTGTATTAAAGACTTTAGTTAATGATATCTTGACCTCCAAAGAAATAAGCTCAGATTCATATAAATAAAAACAAACAAAATTAATGTAGCTTTCCATTCTTTGCTTATCAAACATTTACTAATTGCCTGTCCTATGATAATTATGCTGGTCCTTATGGGAAATAAAAGGTTGAAAATAATTTAATCCTGTCTTGAAAAGTACCTTCTCATGGAGGCAGTCTTCAGTAATTACTCAGTTAAAATATAGTAGGTAAGTGTTAATAGTAAAATGTGAAAAGAATGAAATGTGCTTTATTTGTGTGACATTGAGGTTGGAGTGGAATAGTAAATGGAGATAAAAAGAGCACAGCAAAGATGAAGATGGACAGGAAGTTGGCTAGAGAAATTCATATTAGTTAACTATTCTAGTGGGGTGCACATGTCACACCTGCTCCTGTTGTAAAAGTACAAGCATCGTGTTTGCGAAAGACAATATATTAATGAGCAGTTAAGTTAGATGTAACCCTTTGGTTCTGGACACATGATTAAATCTGCTTGTGATTGAAAGTATTTTTGCTTACTTCACAAAAGTTCATAGAATTTTCTTTTTTTGTAATTAAAAAAATTCTTTTTAGAATTTTATTTCATAGTTTCTTTTCTTCTTTTTCTTTTTGAGACAGGGTCTCACTGTGCAGTTCAGTCTGGCCTTGAGCTCAACTTTATAGCCCAGGCTGCTCTCAAACTCGCAGTGATCCTCCTGCCTCAGCCTCCTGAATGCTGAGAATACAGGCACGTGCCACCACGCCAGGCGAGTTTCTTATTTTTAATGGGTGGCAAAAAAAGTACAGTTTATTGGGGCTGGGGATTTAGCTCAGTGGTTTAAGTGCTTGCCTGGAGTGTGAAGTCATAAGTTCGATCCCTGGCACCAAAAAAAAAAAAAGTATAGTTTATTGTACTTCTCAGGAAAGACCCCTTCTGCCTTTTCACAGTGAACTGTGTGTGTATTCACACCCGTTTGGTAGAGGTGATGCCGCTTGAGTCCGGAGGAAATGAGGCTGACAGTTAACACTGAGCTGAGTGGTGTTGTTCCCTCCCCATCTCATCCTTAGCAGTTTCCTTTGATACTCATGATACGGATTTTTCAGAATCTTTTTCCTTTTTATAAAAGCTTTATACTGAAGTTTACTCATTTGAGAAGGCATTCATGACTTACTTTTTAAAAATTTTATTTAAGGGAAATGGCTACCACTTTTGCTCGCCTGTGTCAGCAAGTTGATATTACTCAAAGGCACCTGGAAGAAGAAATTGGTAGATTGTCCAAAGAAATAGATCAACTGGAGAAAATACAAAACAATTCAAAGTCTTTAAGGTATTTAAAACCTTTTTTTCTCAATCATGTGAGCATTTATTGGTCTTATTACTAAAAGTAACTGTAAAATCACCAATGAATTTATATTAAAACTTCTCATTGTAGGTTTAAATTATGATCTTTCATATTTAATTGTTTTGTAATTTCAGTGAACTAACTCAAGAGAATCCTAAGAATTTTATAGATCTAAACTTAACTGATAGGTTAAGCTAGTACCTCTCAGAACAGAAGTTGTATAATTTAGTTTTTAGGTTTGTATACTGAAGACCATAACTTCTGTTCTCACTGGGGACTCATGGGTGTGCTTAAATTTGAAAAACAAAGGCAAGATTTTATGGCAAAAATGTGGATTTCCTGGTTAATATTATTTATTGTGGATTCCTTTAAGATTTAATAAAATTTGCATAAATTTTATGCTTGGCAGTTAATTCTTTCAGGTTTCTTGTCCATTAGCTGGTCTTTTGGCCTGTCTGGGAAATTCTTTTGGCATCTAAACATTTATTTCCAGGGCATGTACTTCATACAGTTGTTCATGTAAGGGCGGCTTAGTTGCCAGGATTTTATTTTCATTTATTTGTTTAATTTTTGAGGCAGAATCTTCTGTGTAGTTCAGGCTTGCCATGAACTCATGGTGATCCTCCTGACTCAGCCTCCTAAGTGTTGGGATTACAAGCATGTACTACCATGCCCAGTAGCCAGTATTTTAAAATGAAATTTTAAAATTGGAGGAATTATCTTTGTGACCTGAAAACAGCGGACATGTATTTGTCATGGACCACATAATGTTTTGGTCAATAATGAACTGCATATATGATAGTCATCCTATAAAATTATGATGGTGAAGAATTCCTATCACTCTGGCCATCATAAGGTGACAGTGCAACACATTAACCATGTGTTTCTTAGCTGTACAAATACTTATTATTGTGTTATAATTGCCTGTGGTATTCAGTAGATTGCTGTACAAGTTTTTAACCTGTAATACCATGACTGCCTAGGTGTGTAGTAGGTTTAACATACAGGTTTATGTACATATTCTGTGATGATCACATTACAGTGAAGTCAACCAGTGATGTTCAAGACTTCTAAGAGGTGTTGTAGTTATTAAGCAAAGCATGGCAGTGTTTGATTCCGTGATTACTAGGTTAGGCATAGTCATTTGTATTAATTTGCCTAAAGCCCAGGAGAGTTGCCTGAAGTCCAGTGATGTTTCCAGCATATTCAGTGTGACCCAACAAGTGTATGCAGGAACAAAACGAGATTCTTCCCTCTGCAAAGGGGAGAGAGCACCCCTCAGCATGAGAGAAGGGGAGGCATACAGCTGTGTTTCTGCCTGGTTCAGTTTCAGTTTTCTTTTCTTATTAAAAAAAGTATTTTATCCCATGACCCATGAGGATCTGCCAACTTCTCTGCATATACATAAAGCAACTTATTAGGGCTTTGTGCTTCATGCAGACTGACTGTGCGACTTAAGGGGGTTCCCGTGGAAGATGAGAAGACTCCATTGTTCATTATGTTTGCATTCTTTTTCTTTATTAAATCTTTTGTCTTTTTATATGTTAGGTCTGTTTACTGCAGAGCTGCAATAGCACACACTGAATACTGAAAAGGATTGGTAATAGTCAAACCAGACTTGCAGTAAAACTAACAGCAGGCTGGCTATAGAGTTTGCAGTTTAAGAATGGATAGAATGCATTTTCTTTGTTGACTTTTATGATAATGATTGGTATTTTTTTGTTGTTTTTACTAGAAATAAAGCTGTTCAACTCGAAAATGAGCTGGAGAATTTTACTAAGCAGTTTCTGCATTAAAGCAATGAAGAATCTTAACAATGGATTGCTTTGGTGACCATGAGAAGAGGAAATGGAACTTGGAAGATGGGGACAATTGTTATTTTTATGAAATGACCTCAGTATGAATTTCACTAACTGTACTAAATAGCAAATCCCTGTTTAGATTCTGGTAATTATCTCAGGGTGTTTGCATTTCTGAAGAGTGTTATGGTATGTCCTTAGTTTTAATTTGGGTTTAAAAAAAGAGAAAATCATTTGTGTTGCGTAATGAGTTAGTTAAAAGCAATAGAACCAACAATTTGACCCCTGAGGGGTGGGTCCTTGAGCTCTTCATTAGGGCTTTTTGATTCTGAAAAACTCTGCTTCCTGGCATCCAGGAGTTTGAAAATAATCCTTTCATTTTTTCCTTAAAACTAGTTTTTGATGTCTTCTTTAATGGGAGTAGTCAGTTTGGGTTTTGTTTCATAAGCTGCCTTGCTCTAACCATCCAGGAGTGTGGGGTGTTCTTGAGTGGACTGTTGATGAAACTTAGTCTCCGCCATTGAGGCAGTATGTAAGCCACTAATAAATACTCGTTTTTACCCCTGCTTTTATTCTCTTTAAAACTGATATAAAACATTATGAAGGTTTGTTAATGTGGTCACTTATGAAAGTGTCTGAGTTTAGTTTCCCAGTCTTTCTTAGGGACATCTTCAGCTTGGTGTAGTTTTAAGTCCAGTAAGGAAAGCTTTCCTATGTGTTTGAATAAAGTTTGAAGTGAAAAAAATAGCTAAAGAAACAGGAGGTCTGAATTTGGGTGATAACAGTAATCTTCATTAGTAGGCACTTGCTTAAGATTCTGCTGGATTCTGTCCTATTAGAGGCTTTTATTTTTATTTATTTCCATGAATTTGCCAGGGCTTCATTAAAAATTGTTACTGTATTTTTTACTTTAGTGAAGTGTTGATGGTTTCAAGTGTTTGCTGCTTCTGTAGTAAAAACTGAAGTTTACATAGAAATACTAAAAAACGACATCATTGTAGGATCTTATAAAAAATGAAGGATCACCAGATCAGCATCACCTAGATGCACATTAAAATGTACAACCCCAGGGGACAAAACACATTTGGCCAGGTGTAGCACTTGACTCTTTCTTGGGACAGACAAAACTTCAGGCTTTTTTCTTTTAGTGCTTCCTTTTCTGTGCCTTTCAAGGCTCCTGGATGCTAGTTGGTCTTTTCACACCATGTGTGTGTATCTTACTTTTCAAGATATTTGAAGGAGAAAATTACATTATTAGGCAATTAGGAGCTTTTAAGAAATACTCATATTTTTATGCAAATCAATTATTTTAAGTTTAAATACAAATGACTTAGCTTTTAGCTTTTATTGATATAAGCCAAAATTAGGACAGGCCATTGATAAGGGCTAGATGGTAACAATAACATGAAAAGTTAAGACTGGGTATTGTGTCAATGTGAGTTGTAAGTTATGTCAAAGTACTTGAACTTTGGTTATCACCTCAGTACAGTACATACACCAGTTCTTGAAGTTTGATCAGTGGATCACCATCATCACTTTTGAACCTGCAGGAAATGCAGATTCTCAGGTCTCAACCCAGATCTAAAGAATCAGAAACTTTAGGTTTGAGGACTGGCAACATGTTTTAACAAGCCCTGTATGTGATCCTGATAGTCCACTACAGTTTGGGAACACTAGTATAGTGTTTCTGGTAAGTTTTCTTAGTATCGATGTTATTCCACCTGATCAAGTTTGAAGGTATATAGATGTTGGGAACAGAACACTAAAATAATGGGAACTAAGTCTGCTTCCCAGACAGAAGTGCACCTGTAGGTCCATGACTTATGCAGAAATTATGTAACTATGACACTAATGTACTCAAAGTTACTACACATATACTTGATTATTTACTATGTATGTCTGCAGGGTTATTTATAAATTTTGTATACTCAAACTTTTTACAAACATTTTCTTAAGTGTGCAAGCTTGCAAGGTGAAAATAAAACTTGTTTGCCAGATAGTTGATGAATGCAGCATTTATAGTAGTATTTAGTGAATTTTGATCGTTCATTCTTAATCATTTGTATAATAAGCATATTAACTACCTTGAATTAACTGACTGTTATGATTGTATTCCCATACTGTTTAGTTCCAGCTGATAAAGGGTAAGATGCTGTAGAGCACCACAAGAGTTTACAGGTACTTACCCAGTCTACTTCACTAGCAAATAAATCTAATGTAACATATTTTAATGTCTTCAATCTCCGCTTAAGGTTATAATGAAGTAGAAGTAAGTAGAACTTTTTAAATCAATATTACAAGGAGAACTGGTTATTGCTGGGCATGGTGGTACATGCCTGTAATCCCAGCACTCAGGAGGCTGAGGCAGGAGGACTTATGCAAATTTGAGGCCAGCCTGGGCTACAAAGTGAGCTCAAGGGCAGCCTGAACTGCATAGTGAAACTGTGTCAGAAAGGCAGAAAGAAAAAAAAAAATTGGTCATTAAAATTTAAAAGAGGGGCTGGGGATTTAGCTCAGTGGCATAAGCGCCTGCATTGCAAGTAGTCATGAGTTCGATCCCTCATACTGAAAAAACAAGAATTTAAAAAAAAACAAAAAAAAGAAATCTAGATTATTCTAAAGAAACTTAAGGGGGAGAAGTTATTTGGTTTTGAATGAGTCTGGCCTTTTAACATTAAGCTAGAAGTGTAGAGTGCTACAGGATGGGTCAGTAGTAGCACTCCAATCTCTTTGTTTCTGTAACTCATTTCATTTTCATGGAAGGTCAATCTCCCAATAAGATACTAGCAAACTGAATGCAGCAAATCATCAGAAGATTATACACCATATCTAAGGTGGGATTCATCCATGAATGCAGAGATGGTTCAACATTCACAGATCAATAAATGTAAAATATTTTATCAACAGACACAAAGACAAAAATCACACAATCATCTCAAGAGATTCAGAAAAAACTTAGATAAGAGTCCAGCACTCATTTGTGATAAAAACCCTACAGAAAATCAGAATAGTTTTTCCCTCAATCTGTAAAAGCTATGACAAACCAACAGCCAACATTATTCTAAATAGAGAAAAATTGAAAGCTTTCACTTAAGAACAAGACAAGGATGTCCACTATCACAAGTCCTATTTGATAGAGTTCTAGAAACAGTGGATGAGAGAGAAAAGGAATATGGATAGGAAAGGAAGAAGTCAAACTATCATTTGCAGATGACATACTCTACACAGAAGACCCCAAAAACCACCAACAAGACTCCAGAGTTAATAACCAAATTTAGTGTAGCTGGATACAAAGTCAACACTGAAAAATCAATAGCATTCCTGTATACAACAAACTGACTTCGCAATTAGGGAAAATAACACCCTTCACAATAGCTTCCAAAAAATAAAATACCAATCTAATGAAGTAAAGGACTTATATGGTGAAAATTATAGTATTCTAAAAAAAGGAAATTGAAGAAGAAATCTGAAAATGGATAGGTATCCCTTTGCTCATGGATAGAAAAAACCAATATAGTGAAAATGGCCCACAAAATTGTTACACAGATTTAGTGCAAACCCTGATCAAAAAACCATTAACATACAGAATTAGAGAAAATGTTCTTAAAATTCATCTGGAAGAGCTGGGTAACAAAGGCAAGGCAGAAGGCATTGTAATTCCTGACTTGAAATTACAATTACACTGATAAAATAAGCATGGTATTGGCAAGAAAACAGATCTGAGGACCAGTGAAACATTACAGTACATAGACACAACTACAGACATACTCAGCGACTATCTTTGACAAAGGGGCCAAACTTGTTCACTGGAAGAAAGCCTCTTTAATGAATGATGCTGCAAAAACCGGGTCTTTTCATGCCAACTGACTAGACCCATGTCTCTCATTGTGCACTAAAATTAAACATTAAATTTACTGGAAGAGAAAGTAGGTAAAAGACAGGGCTAGGCAGAGACTTCATGAACAAAACCCAAACAGCATGGGAAATGCTTCAGTCAACTGGGATCTCATTAAAAAGCTTTTGCACATCAAAAATCACCAACAGTAAAAACCCACAAAGGATTTAAATCTAGGACACAGAGCTGAAAAAAATAGATCCCACCCCCCAGATTCAAAGACCCAATCTAAAAATGGACAGCAGAGATGAACACAATTCTCAGATAAAGAAACACAAATAGCAAATATATGAAAAAATGTTGGGGTCTGGAGATTTAGCTCAGCAGCATAAGCACCTGCCTTGCAAGCAGGCAGTAGTGAGTTCGATCCCCAGTACCGATAAAAAGGAAAATGACAAAAAAAAAAAAAATGTTGAACATCACTGATTGAATATTGAAGAGATGCAAATTAAAACATTCAGATTCTGCCTCACCCCAGAAAGAATGGCTATCATCAAGAAATCAGCAACATGTTGGAGAGGCTATGGGGAAAAAGGAACCCATCTCCACTGTTGGTCGGAGTGCAGACTGGTGCAACCACTAAGGAAATCAGTGAAATTCCTCATAAAACTCAAAATTCCCTTTCTGGGTATTTTCTTTCTTTTTTTTTTTTCTAGGCCTATAAATAATTTTTATTCCTTTGTAAAAACAATATATATTCTTCATAAGATACTTGAAAAACAAAAAAGAATTAAAACATTATTCCTTATCCCACCACTAAATAATATCAAAAGCATTTTATATATTTCTTTCTATTCTATGTTCTACATATAATTTTTTCTTTTTATATAATAACAGACAATCTGCATATAAGACAGTCTATTATTTTTTATAGCATAGTTGAGAATTTTTTTTCAATTTTCTTATTTTAAAGAGATTAAAACAAAACAGAACAGAACAAAGCATATCAGAACAAAACAACACAATCAACATAGGATTCCAAAACAAGACAACAGGAAATCAACAATGGCTACCATAATGTCTCTTGTTTTCTCTGAAATAGTTTTCCATATCTTCCCACACAATGAATTCAAACAAGACAAAAACAATATCAAACCACTCAAAGAATGAAAGCATTACAGGGCTTCAAACGACAATAGGAAAATCAACATTGGCTACCATAATATCTCTTGTTCTCTTCAAAATAGCTGTCAGAATGGGTAATTTCTTTCTTGTTATCATGCCCTATTATTTTTCATGTTTAAATAATATTCCTATTATTTTCATTTTTAAATAAAATATATATATTTTTAATTTTATTTAAAAGGAAAAAGAGAAAAACACAAAACAAAACAAACCGGTGTAAGGGTACACGTAATACAGAACTACAAAAAAAAAACATAACAGTAAGAAATCACCTGTTAATAGATTACATATTATCATCTTAGAAATAGTTGCTCAAATCACAGTATCAAAGAATACAAAGTGGACATTCAAACAGTGAGACTGCAAACAGCTGTGTTCAATGATCCAAAAACATTAATATAGTCAGCTATTTAACGCCCCTAAACACACTTGCTGTTTTATCCGTTAGAGCTCTTTTTTTCCCCCCTCTCTTTTTTACAACAAAATTTACACATTTTGGATTTTATTACTCCTTAGTTCTTATTACTTTTTTTGGGGGGAGAGAATAAAGTCAAATATGGCAAAACAAAGCTGTCAGTCAAAACCAAGGATAGACATAGCACATGATGTAAAACAGAGTACAAGGTTATCAACAATGGTTATCAACGATGTCTCTTGTTTCCTTAAAAAGAATTGTCTATCTCATTAGATATTATAAAGTTGAACAAAACAGTAGAGAACAAGACCAATAAAACTTAGGCATTGTAAACATTACAGGACTTCCAAAGGAGACAATAGTCAAACCAGAATGGGCATCTTAGTGAATCTTACTGCCTTCAAAGTAGTTGTCTATACCCTCAAACTTGATACTATTATACAGAATGGAACAGAGTCTAATCAGTCAAAACAAGATCGTGGGAGTATTACAGGACTTCAAAACAAGTTAATAGGAAATCAAAAAAAGTTACTATTATATATCCTGCTAATTTTTAAAATTTTTCCCCTTAATTAAAACAAACATAAGAAATAACTAAATATTTTTTTTAAAGAATAAGGGAGAGATTGAGATAAATTGGAAATTGGAAATCCCATTTATTCCAGCTATTCCACTTCTAGGCATATTCCCAGAAGAACTGAAAGCATCATACCATAGTGATATATGTGCAACAGGACATAACAATATAACAATACAGGTCAAAGCATGACTGTTTCAGCAACCTAGTGCTTCACCACCAAATAACCTGACTTAATAGTAGTTACCATAGTGTCTGTCTTTTTCCTTGAAATATTTGGAAAAAACTTCATATACTATAGCTTCAAATATTTCCATATCAAGAAGCCCAGAATAAAGCCTTTCCAATTAATAAGTGAAAACTTTATAAGGCTTCAAGGCCACATAATGGGGAATCATGATTACCACATATTTTTATATATTTGAATCATTACTTACATTAGGGAAACTATTCGGTATTCACACATGCGAGATTGATTTATTTCACTTATGAGTATGGTCTCAAGCTGTGCCCATTTATTGATCAATATCTCAATGTGATCCTTCCTTATAGCTGAATAATACTCCATTGTATAGAAATACCACAACTTTTTAATCCATTCCTCAGTTGATGGACACTGGGGTTGTTTCCAAGATCTGGCGATTACAAATTGTGCTGCTATAAACATAGGTGCACATATATCACTGTGGTATGATGCTTTCAGTTCTTCTGGGAATATGCCTAGAAGTGGAATAGCTGGAATAAATGGGATTTCCAATCCCAGCTTTTTGAGAAATCTCCAGACAGACCTCCACAAAGGCTGTACCAGTCTACACTCCCACCAACAGTGCAGGAGAGTTCCTTTTCCCCACAGCCTCTCCAGCATTTGTTGTTGTTGGTTTTTTTGATCCTGGCCATTCTTTCAGGAGTGAGATGGTATCTCAGTGTGGTTTTAATTTGCATTTCTCTAATGACCAATGATGATGAACATTTTTTTTTTTTTTTTGG